TGTCTATCTCCATATCCTTTCCATAACATCACTCTCTTGAAAAATTTCCAATTTAGTCTATCACAAGCTTTCTCATAACCTAATTTAGTCTATCAAAAGTTCCTGATTTTAGCTTGATTCCATTTCCAATTAGAATCATTGACTCTAGGCTGATTTAGCTAATCAAATTAGATTTTCTACTACAGTATCTCCTAGATTTCTCCTATATAAATGTATATAAACATTGTACAGACTAAATCAAAAATACATATGAGAAAATTTTACTCAAATCACTTTGATTTCACTTGTCAATTCTATGTCCCAACAACCACTAGAAGCGGATCCTATATGAACGTCCTTAATAGTGATCTCTTTATTCTGCACAGTAGCAAAAATATCAGGATCCTGACTGCCCCCCCCCACCTTCCGTCTGATCATCCAACCAGAAGCTTACTCTATCCCCAGAACCCACTTTCTATTTGAGGCACTTTTTGGAACGTCCCTTTACTCATCATAATACTCTTCGACATATCAATATCATGAGCCACTCGAGGAGACCTAACAAGGATCAGAAATACTAAATTCAAGTCCTATCTTCTTCCTCCAAAATCTGCCATGCTTCTTCATGAATCTTTATAGCCACTTTCGTTGAAGAGCTTTAGTGAAGTCAACCAAGGACCTCGCTCCCAGCCCAACCCTGTGCGGTGATTGCTTCACCACATTCCAACCCACAGGATGATATCTCCTCTTGTCCATAGTGTCGCCCCACAACAATCTACATTAAATTCCCTCCAGTCTCTTAGCTGCACTAACAGGATGGTGGTCAAAGACGCAAAAAAAGATAGGGATGTTGGCCGAGAGAATCTTTCGCCTTGAAAAGCACTAGTGTTACTACTGAATGTGAAAGGGTTTACAACTCTTTCTAAGTGGGCATCGAAGAGAAGATTCTCTATATTCATCTACTCTATCTTTATCTTCCATTACTGCACGAGGCTCCCTTTCAATGAAGTCGCATGTCTTCCTCAAGCCAAGCTAGAAGAAGAGACACTTCCTAACACATGACCTAACAATGCAGCTAGGGTTGGATAGCCAAGACTTTTGAGGCCTGAAGAGGAGGAGACAATATTTATTTTTATCGGCAAACTTCAGTATCCACATAGTAACAAAGAGTGTAGCCTTAACTAGTTTGGTACTTCATACTGTTTACATTGATATACTATTTTCTATACCTCTCTTTATAGACTTGAAACCTTAATTCTACTTATTTCAACCTCAACAAACCTGTACCTAGATCTCAATTTCAGGAGGCATAACAGAAACCAACTTAAGTCCCCACAATATTAGTAGTGGCAAACAAGCACCAGAACCAAAACGGCACTTAAAAAATCCAGAAATGTACAGCAAGCACTGTAATTAGAGATTGCAATAACTTCAACAAAGAAATGTAATTTCTAGGAATTTTCACCACTAATATTCCCCTTCTTCCCACTATAGTCACTCTACCAGTTATAGCAGAAAGGACCTAAACATAAGACACCAACATAGCTTAAGGGAAAAAAGCATTTCAAAATTCCTCAAATGGACGACTTAATATCATATGGTTTGAGATGGTTCATAACAATGTAATCTCAAAATATATTAACCAAGAATATGTTTTACCCAGAAAAATGAAGAGAAGTAGTTGAGAAGCATTAGAAGTAAATGAATAGAAAAGTTGGATTGTTTAAAGAAAAAAGCAGGAGGCCGCTGAAGTACCTTCAGAGGTGAAAATGCAAAAGTCACAAGAGCATTTGCACCAAAATTCACAAGCACCGCTATGCCGAGTCCACGTCCTCTCAAGCGTAGAGGAAATATCTCGGATATCATCAGCCAACCAATAGGACCAAAGGATAACTAAAAAACAAATTAAAAACCACAGAATAAAAAATATATATTTTGGACCGAAATTATTAATTAATTCACATAGAAAGAAAAATAATAGAACATTATAGAACATAGTTATTCTTTTTTTTTTGGTTGAAGAGATACTTTTTAGTAGTAGTTCTATTAGCAACTTCAACGCAAAAGTATCAAGAGAACATGCACAAATAAAAGGAAGATGACAAAAGGTTTATTGACCTTAATGATGCAGAACGAGGACAAGCCATGATTGAATATTTTCACTATTAGAAAGTGATTTTATAATAACTGTTAAGTTTTTACATTTCTCATGTTCTTTTATAATAACCGTTTAGTTTTCACATTTCTCATGTTCTTACATATAACATATTACTTAAGTTTAGGATGTTTTTGGTTCAGTCTTTTTCTTTCACTTTTCTAATCATTTGAGGAATTTTTACATTTCTCATGTTCTTACATATAACATATTACTTGAGTTTAGGATGTTTTCTAAGCATGTTCTTACATTTCTCATCTTATTATCGGTAGGATGCATGTAGAACCTTATTTCTATTGGTTATTTAGGTACTAGATATTGATTTATGTTAAAGAGAGAATGTAATTAGGTTAAAGAGCATTACGATAAAATACACTCTATGTAATTAATGTATAGAACAGTGACTTTCCAGCGGCGGTTTCACATATTTTGATCAATGTTCAGCCATAAAACTATATAATTATAACCTGGACATCATTAACTTTCCATAAACAACAAAATTGTATGATTTGCATGAGAATTGAGGAAGTTATGAATTTTTGAATATTTAGGTCTGTTGGAAAAAAATTCAAATCGTAACAAATGTTTTAGGGTTGTGAATCTCTATTTCCTTTTTTTCTTTTGATTGATTCTTCTTCTAAATTATAGTTCTATATTTCTATTTCATGGATATTTAAGAATCATTCTTTAATTTGATCTGCATCGGGAGAACTAAATTTTAAAACTGGTTGCACATCATACAAATATGATAATCTAAATACTAATTTCAAAGGAATAATTTTTGGATGCTAAAATTGATATTGTGGTTGAAAATTTGTGAATATGTAAATTTTGCCATATATTAATATTGGGGTTTATTAGGTTAAATAAAAAGAGTTGTGAATTTCAAAAATAATAAGTTTGTTTTAAATCCTAAGAAGTTTAATGAATTTTAAGTTAGAAGAAATAAACGGTATGCCTAGACACCCCTTAAATCACAAAAATCATACATTAGACTTCTATCAACATGTATATGTATTATTGGAATTTTTTGAATATTCATTCGATATAATGAATGAATAGGATTTTAAAAAGTTTTTATCATTTTATTAAGAATTTTGAATTTAGCATTATAAGTCAGTAACCGCGAGCTTATTCTAGAATTTTATAATTTTTTTGAAATAATATTCTAGAGTTTTATAATATCTAAAAGTTATTTTAAATTTTATAAAATTATCACACTATTTATTCACCTTTGAACTATCTATGAATTATCCAATTTTTTAAAGACACATAATCATCTACAATTATTTATTTGAATACAAACTCTAAATCAAGTATCTATTTTGATAGAGTCGAAAATTGATGTATTT